ACTAATATTAGAGATTATACGATGACAGTAGAAGTTATATAACACATAATACTATAGAAGATAACCTTTTATTTTTTGAGATTCAAGAAGAGTTATTGGGCAAAGTAGATGAAGTTAAAGAAAAGTTACGTAAAAAACATGGCATATTGAACAAAATAGTTTCACCATTTAAAAGTCTTGATGAAAAGGTAAATAAGTAACCGTTAAACTCTCTAAAAATAACGGTATACTTATATATTTTTCTTTTTATTATTTTTAAATAAATCAGGAAATATATCTCGTAATTGGATTAAAACTATTATATGATTTAACTATTGAATTGGAATGTGCAAGAAGTAGATTTAAGCTTTTGAATCCAGAATTTGTTAAAGATATATCAGGTTCATTTTTTTGATTTATATTCTTAATAAAATATTGAAGTTGATTATTAATATTATTTGAACTTTTATTATATTATAGACTTTTGGGGAAAACTTACTTATGAACTGCAACTAAGCAAGGAATTAGTAAATATTTTTAAGGAAAGTGAATGTGAATTATATATAAAGGAATCTTGCCATCATTGTATTGTAGAAAATCTGTCAAAAATAGGTTGTTTAATTAATGATTTTGTTAGAAATATTACAGCCAAAAAGATTGCAAAGAACGAACAATTTTTTAAATGAATATAGGAAAAGGCAAAGAATGTTGAGGCTATACAAAAATTTATTTAAACATATTATATAATTGTATAAGTTTTTTTTTTATTTTTTATAAAAATCTGTGATGTGATCCGGATATTAGTTGCAAATAGCATTTGAATATTTATTAAATTTCAACTTTATAATATATTTTTATTGTTTTTAATAAATTGATATGTTTATAAGAAAATTACTTAATTTACTCTAGTGTATAAACACGGGTATAATTTGTAGATCAACATAATCCAAAATTTAAGAACAAAAAATTCGATTAAGTTAAAGTTATATTAAGGTTGGATTTAAGGTTCGGGTAAGGCATTGCCTATACTAAAATTTTGTAAAGAAAATTTTTTTTATTAGAACCCTAAAGGATGGTTTCATACATAAAATTTTGAGTATTATAAGCACCCATGTTTGATTATTAGGCAGAAGTTTGTCTGATTGGCTAATAAATTCAATTCAATTTTACATTATTTATACAATTTAGAGTACTTTTTAAACAAACGAAAACCAACTATAATAAAGTAGGGTAGGGTTGTTAAAAAGTTTATTGAAGTTGGTTTTTGAGTTTACTCAGTAAGGACTTTTTAAAGATGATTCAAACCTACTTTTAAGTAAAGTTCTAAACAACACATAATTAATTAAAATACTTAGGTGCAAAAAATAAGAGTAAATGCAAAAGTATTAATGCCGGGGCGTTAATGCAGAAGAGTGCTAAATTAGTAGTTTTTTTAATAAATATTATCACATGATAAAAGTTTTTGTAGATATTATTATATAATATTGGTTTTATTTACATGTTTTGCATACTAACTTTGTACAAACCGGAAGACCAAATTAGGTAAAAATTCCGATATGGTTGGTTATACAAGGATCAAAAAAAATTTTTTAGGTTTTATGACACTTTTTTACATTTTCAGGGGCTTCGGGTAACCTATCTATCCTATCAAACATGACAAGTCAAACTAAGTAAACTTGAAGCTTTCGCACTATATTTTAACAAAATCGGTTGATTCAGTTGATTTAGTTGATCTTATTTTAATTTATTTAACAAATATATCTGAAATTAAGGAGTGTATGGAATGTAAAACTACTAAATCTCATCAATTTTATTCATAAGCAGGAAAGAAATGGGAAGAAGCCAAAGCTAATGGCTTAATCAAGAAATCTTGGATAAAAGGTACAAATTATTCATAACTGTTACATGAATCTTGTAGAAAATCAATTGAGAAAAACCAGACAGACAAAA